TCAAGGTCTTATTTGATAAGTTTCTTCCATCTCTTCATGTGACACCCTTGTTTCAAGTTCATTTATTAATAAAAATATTACAAAATTAATTATTGAAAAGAATATTTTTCTTATATTAAACACAATATCATGTCACAACACCATAATTCAAGTCTTATAAAATTTTAAATAAAACAAATTATTTCAGCACCGTAAAGACTATTACAAAACTAATCCAAATTCAAAGTGTTCATAATTATAAAAACATACATAAAAACTACAAGTTTAATCCCAATGTCACAACTTATAAAGAAAATATCTACTCAAAGGAAAAAAAAAATAACATCAAAACTATTAGGCATAAGTCTCTTTTTTAGCACTATCATCTCCATAATCCTCTTGGGCATTATCTATACAACACATTTATAAAAAAAGACATACAAATGGAAAAGAATAAGATACGTCTCACATTATGCTCGAATATAGTAAAGGAAGCAAGTAAAACACATAAATAAAAGTAATAATGTATTCAAGCATATCAATTCCAAACACATGCAATTGATTCAATGCAATTTCCTAAACTCCTATCTCATATGGATGTCATACCAAGTTAAACATTTGAGAGCTGACAATGAGTACATGTAGTTGATGACTCACCCTCACACAGGATATATCTGTCACAAACACTCTCAATTGGTATGATATCTTGTGGAGAAAAGATAGACTCAATAAAATGAGAAGTCGAATAATGTCAATAAAAAAATATATTTTTTCAAGTAGTGAAGTAGTAACGCTAATATTTAAGAGTGTTGAAGAGAGAGCAAACAAAACACACAATATTTTTATACTATTTCGTTTCAACCACCGAGATTACATTCAATTCTCAATCCAATCAAGTCTACTTCCACTATGTAAACAAGATACAAGTACTCTTTTAATAAGCTACTTCTAACTCAAACCTAAATTTTCTTTGAATTGTTTCTTCAAATAATTTATCCAAGTATATTCTTTTCACACAAAGCCTCTTTAGGCTTCAAAATAAAATATTCTTTTACAATCAAGTCATTCTAGGCTCAAACAATAAGCATTCCTTTACAGATAAGTTACTCTAGGCTCAACCAACAAGTATTCTTTTACAGATAAGTTTCTCTAGGCTCAAATAACAACTATTCTTTTAGAGACAAATCTCTCTAGGCTCAAAACCAATAACTTAGAGTTACTAAGGTTTACAAAGTTGTTTTGTCTTCCTACCAAGAGGTGATACAATAAATTAAGTATAAAGAGCCTTACAAAATGAATATGTATAGTACAAATACTTGCAAAAAGGTTACTTTTTTTTTTGATCGTGAAACTTCTTATATAGTAGCTTGGATGAAGATAATTGTTGCAAAAAGCCTTGGGGGTTCCTTAGAACCTTACTTCATTTGTCTTCGTTATAGATTCCTTAAGGTGAAATATTCATTGATGCATTAAATGATTGTATTAAATGTGTTCCACCAAATTATCACTTCTTATATGATCAAGAAGGCTACTTATCATCTTTAGGATACTAAACGGACTATTTATATGTGTCAATGAGAAGCAAGTTTTGCATCAACTTTTGTTGACTTTCCATGTGATTTCAGGGATTCGTTTGTCCTTGATTCTAGCGCAAAGCATGACTTCATTCTCTTTAATACATTTGTGAGTTTTAAAGAGTTTTCTTAGTTTGATCTATTAAGAAATCACTCAAACATGCAACAAGTAGTCATTACTTGTTAGTCATTATAAATGATAGACATTTAAGACTTTATAAAGGCAGATTGTACACTTCATCTAATGACACATCATTTCTCTAATGAATTACATCTTATGTTTCGTCTGATGAATATTTCACAAAACATTTTCTTTTAGAAAAATGTTTTGTTTATTATCATTAAAACTTGAGAGCTTGAGGAATCCAAGATCATCTTTTGACTTAACACTTTTTAATGATTAATCAGGGTCTCCCAACAACAATAATACACATCAACTTGCACAGGATTAACATGGACCATTGGGGTTCCCTCATCATATGTTATCTCCTCAAAGCCAAGGTTAACAACTCTTTGTGGCCTTCATTAATTAGTCAAGATCTTTAAGCATTTTCTAGAAATATTATTTCATTATGATATAATACATTATCACACAAAGATTTACATGGCCTCAAAAGGTCTCACATTGAGAATCCTACCTCTACAAAATAGGCCCCCATTCAAATCATAAGATAACATACCATGGCATTATGCTTTGTTCATTTATCATCGTTCATAGCATACACATAACTTAGCATCAATTTATGCCATACAAAATTGTCAACAAGTTGATAAATTCACTAAGTAAAAAACATGACATCAAGACATCATGCTTAGTGTGACACTAATGCTTGATGCTAAAGGATAAAGAGTAGGATTTCTCTATAACGTCTCTATGCTTAGCTCTATCCACCTATTGCTTACACTTTGTTTGAGTAAACAAAGAAGTAGGATAGAAAGAAGTAGGAGAGAAAAGAGAATGAGTAGGAAAAGGGTAGATTTTGAGTGTTTGGATTGAAAGAAGTTAGAGATAGATAGATTAAAAAATTATTTTTTAATAGGTCCTATAATTTTTCTATATTTGTTTTTACAAAATATCTTCATCCATGAATTAAGAAGTTTTTTTTACATGGGTCCCACTACCTTTTTCTCACTCCTTTCCTCTTCCAAATAACTAAAAATTTTATTTTCTCTTACACTTCTTTCTTTTGTACTTATCTTTTCTCAAAATCTTTTGAAACAAACAATGAGTTAGTGTCAAGAGATCAAATATCCAAGATTGCTCTATGGAGCTCCCACACTTGGCGCACATCATACCTCACTCAACTAGGAATGACAATAGAACGGACCAAGTACGAGTTTTGTTATGAGATTTGTGTCCTATACCCATCCATGTCTCCATACTTGATAGATATGAGATTTGTGTCTCTATCTTCGTCCTCGTCGGGTATCGGATATATTCGTATCCGCTTCGTATTCGTCCAAAAACTAATTAAATATATTTTTTTTTGTAAAAAAATATTAAAAAATAAAAACTTTAACATAGAATAGCAATTATAAAATTATATTAATTAAATTTCATTTAACATAAATTTAAAATAGAGTAAGAATTATATAAATGTCAAATAATTTTTTAAAAAATAATTAAGTTTCTAGAAATTGAAAGCGAGTACAAGTATAAGTACGAGTACAAATATAGGATATGTAAGTGTATACCCATTCCTGTACCCAATTTAATAAATCAGGTATTATTTGTACTTGGTTAAACTAAATATTTCTTGTTAAAGTTGGGATGAGTTCAAATATTACCCACAGATGCAAGCTTACTTGTCATCTTTATTTAGTGTCAACTCACCGTGACTTTGTATCGCTTTCCTACTTAGTGTGAGACATCATTCTCACTTAGCTAGTGTCAAACTCATCATGACACCCTATGACTCTCATGCTTAGCAAGACATCATTATAACTTAAAGTTGAACCATTGTGGCTCTTTGTAACTTATGCATTTAATGTCAACCCTCATGCTTAACATCATCGGTATAAAGAGAGCATGAGTAATTATCTAGGCACTTAATATTTAAATATATAAATTATATTTTAGATTTATAATAGATAATTTATATTATGATACAATATTATTTTTAACTATTGATAATTTTAAAAATATCAAATTTTAATTTTAAAATAAATATGAAAAAGATTAATTAAAAATAGAAAAATTGAGAAGAATCTCTAAAAATATTTTTATTAATTTTTTCCCCCAAAATTACTCTTATTAAAAATAAATTGGCTAAATTTCACTTTTGGACCTCCTATAATATTAAATATGCAGTTTGGATCCCTATATTTTTAATTTCATAATTTTAGTCATACAATTTTATAAAATTCACAATTTTGGTCCCTTTATTAAAATGTTCATCCATTTATGTTAAAGTTATTACATTAGTCATGATATGATATTAAATAAATGACATGATATTAAATAAATGACATAACAATTAGTATTTAATTTAAATTTCGCTATTCGTTCTCATTTATCTCATAAAAGTGGTATAATAAGATAAAAATATGATAAAAATGAGAATTAAAGTGTAAATTAACCTAAATATTATTAAATATTAATTATTGTATCATTTACCCAATGTTAAGTTACAACTGATGTTACAATTTTAACAATTAATAGATGAATATTTAATAATAAAAAAATTAAAATTGTAAATTTTTATAAAATTGAAGGACTAAAGTTACACAATTAAAAATAGATAGACCAACATTACATATTTAATATTATAGGTGAACTAAAAATGAAATTAAGCCAAATAGGTTTTTAAAATATATATTTAAAATTATTTTAATTATTAATTTTTTAAAAACAAAAATTAATTATAAATAAAGATGGAAAATATGAATTGAAATGAGAAAAAGTCAAAGAAAAATCTCATATATAAAAAATTCTTTAACGAAAAACTTCAAAAAGCACTCTCCTTAATTTTTTTAAAAATCATTTTCTTTCAAGATAATTATTATAATTTGTTATTTGTATAAAGAAATTATCATACAAAATAAAAATTTACGATAGATTTTTTTTACAAAAAAGTTACAATAAATAGAAATAAATCATAAAAGATGTATAAAAAAAAACAGTTGAAAATAGCATTTAATAGTGGAGCAAATCCGGAATGACCAAATTAACAACCATGTCTTAAATTCATAATAATTATGCAACTGCATTCTCCATGTGTGGGTCAACCTTATCACGGCTTATAGGTGTCGCCACGCTCCAACCTAAGAATCTCCTAGAAACCACACCAATCCAAAACTATTTAATTTCATCCAACCAATTAATACAACCATATTATATACGCTGGAATCAAAAGATTCTCATATCAACCACAACCAATTGCTTTTGTTTTCTACTTGTTTTGTTTTTTCCATAAATAAAAAAAATAAAAATAAAAAATTGCTCGCAAATTATTGACAACCGTTGAGCTATGTTTCGATTTACGTTACACTAATGGGATTACGCGACGACCCGAATGCGGTCACTGAATCTTTCTGTCCGAATCAGAATTTTTACTAATATATATAAATGAATCTCTATCACCTTCTTCTCCCTCTATCTGCCTTATGTAATGAAAATAATTCCGTAACATCAAAATTTAAACTCTCAAGTGTGAAATTAGTTAACCTTTTCTTGGTTCCTACTTGTGACTCTTGAGTTTGTTATTCCTTTGTTATCCCAAAGATGGAACCGAACTTGGATTTGAGTTTGGCCTTTGTCCCCATTTCTGAGATTCTTAGTGAGGTTTCTCAGGGCAAAGATGGGTCTCAGAAAAACGAGGACTTTGTTCAAAGGTTGGAAGATGAGAAGAGGAAGATCGAGGCCTTCAAACGGGAGCTTCCTCTTTGCATGATGATTGTAAACGATGGTGGGTTAAATACTCATTTTTCTTTTAATAAAAATTTGAAATTAAAAGTTTTTCGTTTAATTATTGTGCATATTATTATGATTCTGTTGATGGCTAATATATTTTTGGGGGTCTGGATGCAGTTATAAGTAGATTGAAAGGGGAAATAAAGGGTGTAAGAATGCAAGATAAACCTGTGGTTGAGGAATTGGTGCCACTTATGGAAACCAATTCTGAAGAAAATGGGTCTTTGATTGCGAGAAAGGAAAAAAGCAGTGACACGAAGAAATGGATGAACCTTTTTCCGCTATGCAACGCTGAAACCAATCCGGTAAATTTGATGGCATAGTTTTTTTTGTTTTTTTTTAACAAACTGTTACATGGTCCTGAATCCTCATCAACATCTACATGATAAATAATTGAGTTTTTTATTATTTTAAATTGACCATAATTAAAGTGATATGAAATCATATAACGATTTCTCCATTTTGTAGCAGTTTCTACAGAATTAAGATCTAAGTTTATTTATTTATTTTGGTATGACAGAGGAATAAAGAGGGTGATCGGTGTGTGCCAAAGAATCCAATTCAACCACAGAAGGAGACCGACGAGAGTGGAGGAACATCATCACTAGCATTCAATGGAAACAAGTGTGTCTCGAAGACAGTGATGAGGGATGACAAGGTTCCTAGCCTTGGTTTGACGACTCCAATGTTTGAATTGAATCATAGAAAAACAGAAAGTGGTTGTGGACACAGTTCATCATTAATTACAAGTCCAGTTAAAAGTAAGGGTCAATTGCAATCACTGCAGAATACCAAAAAACAAAGGCGAAGTTGGTCACCAGAGCTTCATCGAAAATTTGTTGATGCGCTTCAACAATTAGGAAGACCACAAGGTAGGTTAAATTTAACATATAAAGCATAAACATGTTTAATTAGGAGGAAGATGGTTTATTGGTGAGTATATGATCCCTTTCACAAATTGGGGTGGGCTCAAAAAGTCTTAAAATTATCTGATTATCATTGGGTGGATGATTTTTTTTTTCTTTTCTGTTATTCTTCGTTTAGTTTTAGATTCTTCCATCTAGGATTGAAAATTGGGGTCTTTATTGTTCTGATTGATTTGTTTCCTGCAGTGGCCACTCCAAAGCAGATCAAAGAACTGATGCAGGTGGTTGGCCTCACAAATGATGAAGTGAAAAGCCATTTGCAAGTGAGTGTTTATTTAGTATTTAGGATAAATTAAATTCTCCATTAAGTATTTAATACAAACAAAAATAAGTTACCTTTTTTTTTTTTAATAAATAATAAGTATGTAAACTTGTTCAATACCACTATAATTTAAGGGGAGCAGCTGATATGAATTTAGAGAAGTTAAATTCATTTTACTATAAACATCTATGAATTAGATTATCTTAGCCTCAATTAGAACCCCTTTATTATTATATATCTCAGTGACTGATGCAAATCTATTATTGTTTATTCAGAAGTACAGGCTTCATTTTAAAAGGCCACAAGTTTGTTCAAATGGGCAGGGTAATAATAGAAATAGTGGGTTAGGCATGATGGCAGAAGATAAATCAAAGGGAAATTTATCACAATCTGGTTCTCCACAAGGTCCTCTGTTCCTAGGAGGATCTGGTAAAGGTCTTTCAAGCTCTGGACGCAACAGCACAGAGACAGAAGAAGATGAGCAATCAGATTGTCGCAATTGGAAAGGGGGGCTTCACCCAACCAGAAGTTGACTTTTTATGAGCCTTTTGAAATTTTCAGATACATAGAATAAAGTATATAATATATTTGAAGAGTCGAAATTTGACAGCAGAAAAATAATAGACCTAACAGATATGATAGAAGGGATCCAATCCAATGGATATTAGAATTGTATGATGAGACTTGTAGAGTGAGCGGTAGAGGTTTTATGGTGTTGAGGTTTTTGTTATGACAAATATATGTTGTTGGTAGAATGGTAGGTGTAAATTTATCCACTCAATTTCCCGAGTTTAACTCTTTTCCAGACTTGCAATAGTTGCTTTTCCGCGTACGCGTATTTGCGTACTTAAACTTTTTATTTTTTTTTTCTCTTTAAATATGTTTTTTATTCATCAAATTTAAGATAACTTTTGTAAGTTTAATGTGATCTTTTTAATTCTTTTTAGCTTTTTTATAATCAATAGTAATTATATAATTAATAATTGAGATAATTATTTATTATCAGGTAAATTTAATATAATATTTTTATTAATAAAAATAATGATTAGTAAATTTTGTACGATAGATTTAGTAATAAGAAAATTTTATTTGACAAATTTATTAATAATATTTGAATAAAACATTGTATTATTTGTTCTCAAATTACATTAAAAAATATAATTTTAAACTCGAGAAATTAAAAATATATTTAAATAACAGAAATTATTAGGTAGTTAAAAATTATTAAATTTATAACCATTAAATTATCAAGTATACTTATGCTATAAAGAAAAAACTATTACATTATTATGGTGTTTGTAACAATTAAAAAAGTAAAAAATCACATAAAAATGTAAAAAATAATATAGTTTTACTATCATTTACAAAGATACAAGTATTATTTCACAAATCACTTTTGACTTAACCTAAGTATTTTTTATCTTACCTTTTCAAGTAATTATCCAAATATTATTTGAACACAAAGCATTTCTAGACTTTAATAATCAAATATTCTTTTATAGTTAAACTTTTTCAGACTTCAATAATTCAACATTCTTTTGCAAACAAGTCTTTTCATGTTCAAAGTACTAACACAAAGTTAAAGTTAAGAAATCACTTTGTTGTTTCGTCTTATTATCAAGACGTAATACAACCAATTAAATACAATGCTTTTTTAGAGAGAATGAATATATATTTTTTTATAATTGTTGTTCCATCTATATATATTTGTATCTGTAACACTATAAGTTGTGATAGTGTTATAATTATTTATGATTGTTTTATGTTATTAAGTTAAATTGTTGTTCAGTGTCAAGGGACTCTATTGTCTAAGGATTTCTTAAGAGTTTCAATGATGCAAGGAGGGGATTTCTCTAAGCAGAAAATAGGATTGACTTTAGTGGGAAGAATATATAAGATTTCTATTTAGAATGTAGCCTTATAAACTCAAGTTCCCGAAAGTCTAATGAGAGGATTTTAGAGAGAAGGACTTTGGTCCGTGAGCTTTTCTTTTCTCTCAATCTTCTCCTTTTCTTTCTCTAATTCTCATTGTGATGCCTTGTTGTTAAATTCAGGTGCTTAGGAGCCTTAAATTTAGTTGTAGATTCATTGTCGAAGTTGCATCGAGGATCGTTCGTGGTTTCTTCTTCTCCTTCCTTGGTTCTCTTCAATTTCGAGGTAAGGGGTGTGAGAAACATTACACTCCGATTATTGGTGTGAAATATAGTCAAATAGTCATACAAACAAATACATAACATTACAAAAACTTGATCAACATAACATTAGTAACAATTATAGCTTATAATAACTCAAAAAAAATGACAAATCATGATTCCCACAAATATAATGGACACAAACTTCACTAGTCTACATGTGTGTGGTGTTAGTAAAACATTGTTTCCATGCTCGAAGGCACACATAGAGTAATCTAGGAGAACATATCAGGTTAAATCATCGTAGAACTATACACTAGGTAGAGATACATCAAGGTACGTCGGAAAATAGTGTTGCACAAGTTACACACCATGCACATAAATAAGCATAACTAAGGCTCCCAAACTTAATCGTCTCCAAGGTCATGAATCCTTAAGCTTACGTAAAGGAGACCTACATTAACACTGTATTTCGTATTGTACCCTTCACATAAAACACTTATGTTTATGATGCATGTCATACAAGACCTAATGCATATGTCATGTTATCTCATCATCACAAGTACACATCACATATCTTATTCACATCGTTGCTAGACAATCATGTCCAAATTTTACCCCAACTAAGCCTCAACTTAGACTTCACGTCACATAGTCCACACAAAAACAACATGTAGTAGTGTACAAAGGTCACACATCCATAACTCAAACACAATAATGTCAACGATATCCTCTAACAACACCTCAAATGGAGTCATTATAAAATCATCTAATCATATGTTAATATCTCGATCATAGTAACAAGGAGATCATTACCAAACTATGCATTTTAATTAATAACTAACAAAAATAAGTCTAGGGTTTATAATTTTGGTTTATATATATAAGGGTAGCTTTGTAATTATATTATTAAGAGGGGTAAGGGTGAGGGTGGGGCAGGTATTAATATCCTCGTCCCCGCCTCCAAATTTGCCAATCAGGAAAAATTCAAACCCGAACCTAAACTTAAACCCGATTAACACGGGTTTTCCTCGTCCAAATCGGGGCAGGTTCGGGTGGGTATCCACGGGGTCGGTTTAGAATATCATGTTGAGATGACATACATGAAAGATCCAAGGGATGGTACGAAGATGTAAGAAATTGAAAGATAATTGAAATGTTACATCAATTAGAGAAGTGTGAATCAAGTTTTTGACTTAATCCTTATAACATATTTGTGATCTGAGGATGTTCTCGAAAAGAATGGTTAATTTGTTGAAAGTGTTAGGTTGATCAAAAAAGTAAATTCATATCAAAAGAGATTACTAGTCAAAAGTTTTAAGTTGGACATTCCATTTAAGAAACTTAAGTTTTAGTTATTATTAGTTTCTTAGTTTCTATTTCAAACAAGTTTAATAACATGCACTTGTCAAAATTAGACATTAGGAAGTTACTTATTTAGGTTATGTATTTTTGTTTTGATAATCAAAGATAAATTCATTAATGTTGAAGAAAAGAGCTTATCAATAGCATGAGAAATCCCATGATTCAGTAAACATGGTCTGATATACATAGCTACAGAACAACGCACATCATAGTAGATATTATGAAGCTAGAGCAAAGACAATTACTTGAATTGGCAATGAGTATTGAGCCACTTGTTAACAAAACTCGTAGAACCCTTGTTACAATATATATTTAGTTATGTATGTTTCCTTTCCATCTAAGTAAACAATGTTCATTTTGGTATAAGAGTCTTGATTAAATTTATCATCCTTAATCTCTATTTGTAATCAGAATTGATAGGCATTATCATGGAGTTGCTCAATTCTAGATTCGAGCATTTTCTTCTCCATGTTACTAAGATTGGTGAGAGGCAAAAAGGTTAACATTTGACATATTTTGTTTTGCACTGATATGGTCTTTATGGTTGTTGAGGAATAAAATGATATTTGACAATTGTTCTTTGATTAAAGTTCTATCATGGACTTTGTTCAAAGCAACTATAGATAGAAACCACCTCCTTTTTGTATTAGTTTTATGATCATGTCTATTGTACGTTAATGTATTTGCCTCGTTAGTCTTTTTGCCTTTTCTTTTTGTGTATATAGATTGAAATACCCCACATACTTTCTTTATTACCATTATACATTTTTCTCATAAAAGGAAGCAAATAAAAACTAACCATCTAATGTTACAAGACAATTTGTAAAGTTTTGTTTTTCTAATATAAGCATTCCAGATAACTAATAACAAAACATCATGCTTGACTTTCTATTCTCGTACTTATCTTCCTCTGAAGCCAATGTTGTATACTTATATGTTACATATTAAAAAATATTCTATGAAATCAAATAGGACCAAACAAGTGTTTACTTCTTATTTGTTGAAAAAATTAAAGGAGCTCGATAAAAATCACGTGATAAAAACCTATTCATGTAATTTATTGAAGTTTTTATATTTTTAGACATTTATCTTTACACAGTTAAATATTTAAGTAGCATTCAAAAATTTGTTTTATATCACATCATCAATCATATCAATCACTTATCTCTCTCCTTCTATCTCTCTCTATCTCTCTTAATTCTCAAGATGATTACATTCAAGGAGTTCCAAAAAAATTTCTTTACTTCACGTCTTTTTCCACAACTTTACATTGATGCCAATAAGAAAATGACTCCTAAGCAATACCTTAAATTAAACTCTATTCACCAAAGACTAGTTCAAAAAGGTTAAATAAGACATGAAAATGATTGTATATAAACCCTTTGAAGTCAATTTTAATTTTTATAAATAAAAAAGTTAAATTACATCGCAAAAGATAAAAAGGATATCATAACACACCACACCACATGTATATGTATATATAAAACAAAATAAAATTATATCCTTGTATTATTGTGACACTTGTAGTTCTAACATTACAAACCCAAAATCCATGGGAAAGGACATAAGCAATTTGAAATCTATTTGACACACAAGAACAAGAACAACAATAATTCCTTATCAATTCAAGAAGAATTTGTGACCTTTTTTTCCCCTTCTTGTCACCTTGATCCAATAAAGAAGGACCAACATTATTCTCACCCAAATCCAACAATGGATCCTTAACACCTACCTGACCAAACCCATCGTCCTCAAAAGTCCCACACGACAAAAAGCGTCCCACGTCTTAATATTGGTGTCATTACATGGACATCAAAACAACACCATGTTAGTCTTTGTCTAAAGAGGCAAAGCCTTATCACATATCTTCCTCCCTTTATAAGAGGTGCCAAAACTAAAGTCTTTTTTCATGGTCTCTAGGCCCAAGTACTTGGCTAGCTTGGCCTTGGCCTATGTATCCAACCCTACCTAACTTAACCCAAACCAAATAGTTTGGCTAAGGTATTTTTAGTGTTTATCCAACCCAACCTAATTAAACTTGATGTTATTTGGGTTAGGTATTCGACTTTAGTGTTGCAAACCTAATTCAACCCATTTAATAATTTTAAATTTTAATTTAATATATATGTATGTTATAAAAAAATAGTTACTTTAAAAATTTAAAAAAAAAAATAGGTGATACCATATTGTGTAAATAGCCATTTGGGCTTCATAGAGCACTCACTTTAGTGGCCTAACCCAACCCTCTCTTATATATTAACCTTCTTCCTTTCTTACCCAAATTTTCTAACATAACCCTAGC